TCGGTGTCGAGATTTGAATGCCAGATTAATCTAGAGTGAAAACCATAGAGAAAAAGCCAAACTTCGTGAAAATCGGATGAGATTTGACCGAGTTATGGGGGTGGTCATTTTTGACCCATGTCTATATACGAATCTTGGGGTAAGATTTGGACATGAATTTCGACTAAAAAATCGGTGTTCAGATTTGAATGCCAGATTAATCTAGAGGGAAAACCGTGAAGAAAAAGCCAAACTTCGTGAAAGTCGGATGAGATTTGACCGAGTTATGGGGGAGGTCATTTTTGACCCATGTCTATATACGAATCTTGGGGTAAGATTTGGACATGAATTTCGACTAAAAAATCGGTGTCGAGATTTGAATGCCAGATTAATCTAGAGTGAAAACCATAGAGAAAAAGCCAAACTTCGTGAAAATCGGATGAGATTTGACCGAGTTATGGGGGTGGTCATTTTTGACCCATGTCTATATACGAATCTTGGGGTAAGATTTGGACATGAATTTCGACTAAAAAGTCGGTGTTCAGATTTGAATGCCAGATTAATCTAGAGGGAAAACCGTGAAGAAAAAGCCAAACTTCGTGAAAATCGGATGAGATTTGGCCGAGTTATGGGGGTAGTAAATTTTGACCCATGTCTATATACGAATCTTGGGGTAAGATTTGGACATGAATTTCGACTAAAAAATCGGTGTCGAGATTTGAATGCCAGATTAATCTAGAGGGAAAACCATAAAGAAAAAGCCAAACTTCGTGAAAATCGGATGAGATTTGACCGAGTTATGGGGGTGGTCATTTTTGACCCATGTCTATATGCGAATCTTGGGGTAAGATTTGGACATGAATTTCGACTAAAAAATCGGTGTCGAGATTTGAATGCCAGATTGATCTAGAGGGAAAACCGTGAAGAAAAAGCCAAACTTCGTGAAAATCGGATGAGATTTGACCGAGTTATGGGGGTGGTCATTTTTGACCCATGTCTATATACGAATCTTGGGGTAAGATTTGGACATGAATTTCGACTAAAAAATCGGTGTTCAGATTTGAATGCCAGATTGATCTAGAGGGAAAACCGTGAAGAAAAAGCCAAACTTCGTGAAAATCGGATGAGATTTGACCGAGTTATGGGGGTGGTCATTTTTGACCCATGTCTATATACGAATCTTGGGGTAAGATTTGGACATGAATTTCGACTAAAAAATCGGTGTTCAGATTTGAATGCCAGATTAATCTAGAGGGAAAACCGTGAAGAAAAAGCCAAACTTCGTGAAAATCGGATGAAATTTGACCGAGTTATGGGGGTGGTAATTTTTGACCCGTGTCTATATACGAATCTTGGGGTAAGATTTGGACATGAATTTCGACTAAAAAATCGGGGTTCAGATTTGAATGCCAGATTAATCTGGAGGGAAAACCGTGAAGAAAAGTCCTATATCATATATATATTCTATTTAAGAAGCTATATGTCAAGTTTGGTGACTCTAGCTCTTATTATTTACCAAAATTCCCCAAAAAACAGGATATCGATATCGATTTGTATCGATTGCTTGGTAACGGAGTAAGTTATCGATTATCGGAAACAAACTCGATCTGCGCGGGAACTAGGAGCACCTACATTCAAGTCTCTAGCTCTTATCAGTTCTGAGATCCTTCATACAGACGGACGGACGGACGGACGGACGGACGGACGGACGGACGGACGGACATGGCTAGATCGACTCGGCTATTGATGCTGATCAAGAATATATATACTTTATGGGGTCGGAGTTGCTTCCTTCTGCCTGTTACATACATTTGGCTTACGCACCCTTATACCCACTTTAAATGCGGTTCAGGGTATAAAAAGAGGGGAATCAATTACCATATGAACATAAGCCTGGGATTTTTGCCCTATACTTAAAGTGTATACCAGAATTCGGTTCTTTATTATGCTTGAACAATTTCAACTGGAATTTACTTTTTAAATACCATTTGATATGCTTGGGTTTCTCGCAATTATGTTTCTTGAGTCCGATAATTGTTATATATAGTAAAAATTATTCAAGCTCCGCTGGGATTTAATAGCTGGCATTTTATTTATTTTAATCATTTTATGAAAATCGCTTGTAAATACATATGTATATATGCATATATATTTTGTATTTGGCATTTGGGCCATAAAACACAACGGATCTGATTCGATATGGGGGCACTTGAGAGCCGCAAGCGTGTTAGGTCTGAGGTTGTAAAGAGTACTTCTAGCGGGGGTTACGATAGATAAGATTTGTACAATTGAGCGAGAGAGAGAGAGAGAGAGAAAGGGCATTTAATTTATAATTAAGATAGTATAAGCTAAGGTAATACGGCTCGTAGAGACCATAAATTATGGTCAAGCGACGTTCAGGCTAAACAATCCGATGATTAAAGGCTGCTCGCACCTTAACAGAAGACACGGAAAACGAGTGTAACAGGTAGTCGGCCGGTTCGAATCCACATCCACATGGCAGCTATATACCACAGGTGTGTGTGTGTGTGTGTGTGTGTTGAGTGGTAAAATGTATCTGGCGAGCTGGAAAATCCATTGATTGAGCGCTTAAATGTATCTAACGATGGCATAGATTGAAAGCATAACGAAAGGTAAAAGATACACACACACAGGTAGTTGGTCAGCTCGGCAGGTAAGGGAAAGGTCTGTCGGTTTTGTAATTACTGCACATTATCAGGGAGACGCGTCAGGTAAATAACAATTTGAAGGCAAACATCATGCAGTGAAAGCAGTTGCCGATAATAAAATATAAATACCAAAACCCGAAAAAGAAAAAAAACACACATTTCTGTGTGTCTGCGTCTGCTTCTTCTTTGTAGCTTAAGCACACGCACACATACAGAGAGAGGGGGGGAGCGAGAGCGAGAGAGAGAGAGAGATATGTATCTGTGTCTGTCCGTAACTTGTTTCTTTGTGCATTGTGCAGTCCAGTGGAGCTGGGCTCTGCTTTATTTCACTCAATTGACGAGTTCCGAGAACTCTTCGTCTTCGCCCTCGTCTTCACACACACACACAGGCACTCGCTTGCATGCATACCTGTACACACACACATACAGAGGCACTTATGAGGCATGCGATGCAGTTGCATTTTGTTGCTTTTCGGCCAGCCTGACGCTGGGTGCAGTTAGCGCTGCGGCGTTGCCAGACTGTTGTTAGACTGAAATTTGCATAACTTAAAGGCCTAACGAGCATTAGCTGTAATTTCTTGCTCCATAGCGTTGCCAGACTGTCTACAAGTGCCATTTTTATTTCTAAACGCAGACAACTGTCAACTGGCTCGAAAAAATAGCCTTAAAACAGAACTGCTTTGCTTAGTATCACATTCAAGGTTGCCAGATCAGCTCTCAGTTAGAGCTTTTGGACTGCGGTAAATTGAAACGTGCCCCCACTTTTGAGCAGCATAAGGTTGCCAGCGTGTTTAAAGTTATAATATGTGCGCAATATCCTGGCGAATTTAAAGCTGCACAAGGTTGCCAGAAGGCTTAAAAGTGCATATTTTTTATTAAGAAGCTATGGATATGTGCGTCCCAATTTAAGGCGGCCACTTTAAAGCTTTATCTAGGCTAGAACAACAGCAACTCAGGGTTGCCAGACTGCTTGAAAGCCACTTATGCCACCAAAGCATGCTGCGTGTCCCCAGCTAAAAGCTCAGCTTAGCAACAATTAAATAGGCAAGTTAGCAAATTGCGTTGCCAGACTGCTTGCTGTTTATTTGTTTTCGGTTCGGGAATTTGATTTGGGTTATTTAGCGACAGATATTTATTGGAAAGAGCAATTGCTGAGAACAGCTGAACGAAATTCTATAGCTAAATGGAATACAGCTAGCTTTAATTTGAATTGTCAAATAAATCGGGCTTTGCCGCATGCGAATGCAACAGCATATGTCAGCTGCAGTTGCCGCTGACAGTTTTCGGTGGCAAATGTAAATACCCTATTAGCTGATCTTTGGGCAGGTATATACATACATATATGTTTGAAATGCGTTTGCCAGATGTGCAGCTGGCAGTCCAAAACTGCAAATGCATTTCAACAGCAATTGCCATGTTTACACACACACACACACACACACACACACGGGCAGACGGAGTTGCAAGTCCAAGCTGGGCTAAGAAAATGGCGACATTTGGCAGTGGCATCAACTGAGTCATGGCATGCCCCCGCTTCTACCCACTACAAGCAGACAAATGCCACTTGACCCCGCTGCTGCCTTAACTAACCCCCCAACATGGCTTGGCTATGTGCTTGTGCTTGTGTGTGTGTGTGTCTCAGCTTCCACTAAATCATGTTTATGTTGCGCTCTCTCAGCAGCAGCAGCAGCAGCAGCAGCCGCAGCATAGAAAAACAGGTCTGACTGCAGAGACAAAGGCAGAGCGCGTGTTTATGTGTGTGCGTGAGTGCTGCTGCTGTGTGATTGCGCGCGCGTGTTTGCCTGTGCCTGTGTGTGTGAGTGTGTGTGTGCACTCAAGGCGCGCGCTCAACAAGATCCACCCCAAGCAACAACATTTACCTGAACAACGCGCGCGCTCTCTATCACTCTCACTCAGGCGCGCGCTCGTGCGCTCACTCACTCACACAGTTGTTGGCAAACGACTCAAGCGCAAGAGACCAGCTTGCCTGCTCTCGCACGCTCTCTGGCACTGTACACGTTTGGGCTGTGTGCGCTCTCTCTCTCGGCGCCCGTTACTCTAAAGTTTTGGGCTCAGTTTGAATTTTCTATTCGAAGAGTGCGCTTACTGCCCGCTGCTGCGACGGCGTTTCAAATACAGAACGAAATACAAATACAACAACAATTGCCGCCAGTGTTATTTATTTATTTATTTGATTTGTAATTTTTTTTTTTTTCGGCCAACATACAACAGAACAACACACGCACACACGTTGCACGACGCTCAAGCTCAAGCCCGTTGTTGTTGTTGTGCCCGTTGTTGTTGTAGCACGTTCTGCTGCTGCTGCTGCTTCTTCTTCTTCAATTCGTTTCTTTTTTTTGTTTGTTTGTTTGCGTGCGTGCGTGCGCGTGTGTGTGTGTGTGTGTGCTGCAGAGAGCGTCGACTCAAATACACTCGAGGGAATTCGTTCAGATCAGTTCAGCACGGAGCAGCGGCGAGTTGAGCCTCCACGAAACAGTTACGGCTCATTACGGCCAGCCAGATGTGTGCATATGCCCTGGTGCATTCTCGAGCCAGAAACTCAAGCGTTATGTTGGACAAGTGACGTGTGAAGCGCAGCAATAAAAAACAAACTATACACAACAATCAATCAATCAATCAGTCAATCAATCAGTCAGTCAATCAAACGAACAGTTCATCAATCAAAACGAAAAGACACAAATCAAACGAAACGAAACTAAACACAACTCAATCAGCAGTCAGTCAATCAATCAAACAGCCGCAAAATGTTTGATGTATTCGGCTCCGTCAAGGGCCTACTGAAAATCGATCAGGTGTGCATCGATAACAATGTCTTCCGCATGCACTACAAGGCGACGGTCATCATCCTGATCGCCTTCTCTTTGCTGGTCACCTCGCGTCAATATATTGGCGATCCGATCGATTGCATCGTGGACGAGATACCGCTGGGCGTTATGGACACCTATTGCTGGATCTATTCAACGTTTACGGTGCCGGAACGCTTGACGGGCGTCACCGGACGCGATGTGGTGCAGCCGGGCGTTGGCTCCCATGTGGATGGCGAGGATAAGGTCAAGTACCACAAGTACTATCAGTGGGTGTGCTTTGTGCTGTTCTTCCAGGCGATACTGTTCTATGTGCCGCGCTACCTGTGGAAGTCGTGGGAGGGCGGACGCCTCAAGATGCTGGTGATGGATCTCAATAGTCCCATTGTGAATGATGACTGCAAAAACGATCGCAAGAAGATTTTGGTCGATTATTTTATGGGCAATCTGAATCGTCACAATTTCTATGCGTTCCGGTTCTTTGTGTGCGAGGCTCTCAACTTTGTGAATGTCATCGGGCAAATCTATTTCGTGGACTTCTTCCTGGATGGCGAGTTCAGCACGTACGGCAGCGATGTGCTCAAGTTTACCGAAATGGAGCCGGACGATCGCATCGATCCCATGGCAAAGGTCTTTCCCAAGGTAACCAAATGCACCTTCCACAAATATGGTCCGTCGGGCAGCGTACAGAAGTTCGACGGCTTGTGCGTGCTGCCGCTGAACATTGTGAACGAGAAGATCTATGTGTTCCTCTGGTTCTGGTTCATCATTTTGAGCATCTTGTCCGGCATATCGCTGGTGTATCGCATTGCCGTTGTGGTTGGACCCAAGCTGCGTCATCTGTTGCTGCGCGCCCGTTCCCGTCTGGCCGAGAGCGAGGAGGTCGAGAAGGTGGCCAACAGGTGCAACATTGGCGATTGGTTCCTGCTCTATCAGCTGGGCAAGAATATCGATCCATTGATCTACAAGGAGGTGATAGGGGATCTCTATCGCGAAATGGGCGGCGACGGTCAAAGTCCGCAGAAGCAGCCGTTCGAGGCCTAAGTCGGAATCGGAGTCGGAGTCGGAGTTGGAGTTGGAGTCGGAGCTGGAGTCGGAGTCGGCACCTGGGCCACCCTGTGCTAGGCCAGGCAGCGTGCCAGCGGCCGTAAGTTGAGCTTAAAACCCCAATTTCCCTTTCCCATTACACACACACACGCACAGACAGACAACATTTGTACTAGCAGTAGTTACACACACACACACACACACATACATACCACGCACATACGTTCTTAGCTTACGAACTGTAAATCTCTTACAGAGAGCGCACGCATAAGAGTTAGGCGTTAGAGTGAGACAGCGTCTGGCATGCAAAAGACATTTAGCCTTAGTTCTTAGTAAACATTAGTTCTTAATTATGATACCCCTTCCTTTTCTTTTTTTTTTTTTTTTTTTTTTGATCTGTATAATTTGTATGCTCGATATATATATATACATTAATTTTTAGTTGTAATTATTATTGTCAATATTTTTTAAAACAGGCTATATATAAAAACAAAAACAACTTCAGTTGCGCCACGAACAACAACAATATCAATAAACGACAAATACACAAATAAATATTCCAAATCTAAGCAAAGATAAGCCACGCGCTTTTAACGACAGCTTAAACTTTAAGAGCGCTCGTGCTCTTTATCTTTAACAGCGGGGAGAGTGAGAGAGAGAGAGCGAGCGCACACGCACACGCGCACGCACTGCTGGTCTTACGCGCTCATTTAAGCGTAACGCAAGCAGCTCAAGTCGGCGTTCGCCTCGCTTGTGCGCACTTGCGCAAGCGAGATGCCCGCACAGACTGCGACACGCATGCGCAACTGGAGAGCCACTGTATACCCGTCTCGCTTACTCATCAAACTACATTCCACACTTTAAGTCTTTTTTTTTTTCGTTTAGTTTTCTCTTTTGTTTTTAGTTGATTGCTGAAAGCTGCTGAATCTGCATGCGAACTGGTTTGACCAGCCAATGGCATAGATGAGGGGCTCAGCAGCGGGAGGGGGGAGGGGGCAGCCGGCTGCCGCAAGTTCAGGGCAATTGCGAGGGCGCAACTGCCCCGAAGAAGTTCGTTCCATAATTAAGAGAAACATATTAAGAGATAGGCGCGTGATGCGACACAGAGCGACATATTCTATGGAAGTTTCTTGAAGGGGCGACTAGCTGTATACCCTGTTAGCAAATTAAATTATATTTAAGTCAACGTCATGCAGATTTTTCATAAAACCTTCTACATAAATATTCATGCATTTTTGTCAACTTTGTTTATTAGCTGCCCATACTTAAAAAATGTTAAAGCCAGTGTAGTAAAAGTTCGTATATGGCGTATACAAATGCAGATACATGTTTTTTGACCTCAAAGAACTCGGGCACTATAAGAGCTAGAGTTATGAAACTTGGTATGTGTTCTCTTGCATACAAGAGCAAAATAATTTGATGTCAAAGAAAGATCTAGACACATCCATATAAATCTGTACATATCCCTCTTAACTACTCTTATTCTTTCTACTAAACTATTTTATCTTGGAAAAAGAACTACTAAAGCTTTCAATTTGGTATATTTCTCTAATCAGACATTGGAAGCAGTTGCTCAAGTGTCTGCATGTTTACCATGTCGTATGTCTTATTCTTTCCCCGCCCCGCCCCGGCCCGCCCCTTGTCCCGTGTCTTCGGTCTGGTTTGTTGGTTTTGCCCTGTGCGTACATACAATGCCAATTAGAAGTTAGGCAACATATATTTGGCTTCTTCCGTCCGCCAGAGCGACACGCCTTATCTTATCAACAGTTCCCCAACCCCTTCCTCGCAGCCAAACGACAGGCACCCTAAATAGCAATCCGGCCTCGTTGATAAGACGGCAAAACTAAAAAAAAAAAAAACGACAACAACAAAAGAGATGCTGATGTCTTGATGGTGATAAGTGATAAAGTGTTGTAATTAGCGCACATTTTCCACGTCGCACGATCGCAGTTCAGCAATCGCACACACACACACACACACACACAGGCTTGTTATTAACAATTAATGCAAGCGAAACACATAAATGAACACTTGAAATGCATTCGAGCCGAGTTAGCGACTAACAGCTACCCTGTAGAGCAGTTAAATAGCATTGCTGCAAGACAACACTGCTGACATGTCAGTTAGCACGTCATGCAGGCTCACGAAAAGGCATTAAAAGCATCCGACTCGTTTCTGTTAAGTTATAAATGCTTAAGCAACCTTTTTTCAAATGTTATACAACTAGCTTTTACAATTCCCGAGTTCAGATAGTTTGTTAAAATACGATTTTTGCGTCTGACCAATTTTGGATCTTTTATCAAATTTAAACCAATTTGCCAACAAAAAGTTGCATACCAAATTTCATGCAACTAACTCCTATAGTTCCCGAGTTCGGATAGGTTTGCAATTTGCAATTTGCATGCCTGGCTGTGTAATAAAATCTAGATTTCTTATGAAATTTTACACAATTTGCCAACTAAAAGCTAAGTACCAAATTTCATACAACTAACTCGTATAATTCCCGAGTTCGGATAGGTTGTGTGCAGGTGTACGTAAGATCTGGTTATCTTATGAAAAGACTTTATGCGAAATGTAACTCTCGGAAGGTTTCTAAATGCTTCAATAGGGTGTACTATGGGGAAAGGCAGGAAAAAAAAAGCAGATAATTCGTGTGGATTCCATGAATTCGCCCCAGCCCCAGTCCAAGATCCGAACCCAGCCTCAGTTCCAGTCGACAGAGTCATGATGATCACATACATTGACATAAACTCTGACCGTCAATTTGAGGTATCAATGAATGGAGCTTCCCCCCTCCCACACTCCCCTATCAGGGCAGCGAGCTTAGGCATGTGAGAATTGTTTGAATGTATTCATTGTACTCGTGCGAGTATTCACTTTGTTCTATGAATGAGAAATGGAGGCAGCCTTCAGAAAATTTATTTGACACGCGAAAAACGAAAATGAAAACGTTCATGAAAAGCACAAACAGAGACTCAATAGATGTTGTTGTTGTTGTTGTTGTTGTTGTTGTTGTTGTTGTTGCACGCACAAATGTATTCAGAAATGTATTCATTTGCACAAACGCAGACTCTCATTTTGTTGTTTTCGCTTTTTCTTTGTTGTTGCTTTTTAATTGTATTAATTACTTTCAATTAGCTTCAAGCCAGCCCAGCAATAGCTGCAAAAGATCACAGGCATTGCCACACATAATTGCCATTAATAATCGTCCACATATTACGTATACGTATGCCACGAGCAAAAGAAGAAGAACAGCAAGAACTTAGCTTGTTCAAATTGTAGAACTCCACCAAAAAAAATAGATATATATTAGAACTAACATTAGTTCAACTCGTTTAAAAATTTACGATGTCTGCTTTTGATTGATTTTGCTTCCTTTTTTTTTCTGTGCACAAAAAAAAAACAATTTTGTATATTTTATATAATTATATAAAATATATAAATTTATCTCAAAGTGAAGGAATTTTTTTTTTTTTTGCAATACTCGAGAAATTAACTTTATATTAATGGAATTCCATTTTAATATCTAAGAGACTTTCATATATATCGTATATTGTCATTTTGTATACCCTAAACCCATTAAAAATGGGTATATTGTACTTGTGCGAAAGCCAAATGTATGTAACAGGCAGAAGGAAGCAACTCCGACCCCATAAAGTATATATATTCTTGATCAGCATCAATAGCCGAGTCGATCTAGCCATGGCCGTCCGTCTGTCCGTCCTTCCGTCCAGTACCTATAAGAGCTAGAAATTTTAGATGTAGATGCTCCTTGTTCCCGCGCAGCTCGAGTTTGTTTCCGATAATCGATAACTTACTCCGTTTCCAAGCAATCGATAAAAATCGATATCGATATCCTGTTTTTTGGGCAATTTTGGTAAATAATAAGAGCTAGAGTCACCAAACTTGACATTTAGCTTCTAAAATAGAATATATATATGCATTTGATGTTGGAAGAAGAGGGTTCAGGGTATCCCCTAGTCGGGAGCTCCCGACTAGAACCTCTGACTTGTTTTAATATTTAATTTAATATATATATACTTTATAGGGTCGGATATAATATACCCTCTATAATACTCTCTTACTAGATTCGATCAACTATATACAAATGTTGAACTGGCGACTTTTCGCATGCCAGCTCGACGCGCTAACAGCTGCGCCTTGCTCAGCAATCGGTCTGTGAGTCAGGACAAATACTTTGTTGTTTTTTTGTTCAAGTGTTTTTCAAATTGATTAATTAGGTTTTTTTTTTCCGGACGCACAATTGTTTATCTTTTGCCGCCAGATCTTTTCGCTTCAGCAGAAGAGTCATGAGTGGCACAGCTGCTCTTGCAATTATTGCGCTGAAAATGTGTTTTACTCATTCTATATATTTTTATTGTTTTTCGTTTGTTTTGCCTCTTTTCGTTGCAGTTGCACGCCGCCAAATGAAGGATGATTTATTAAAGAGGGCGTGGCCAATATTTAAGACATATCAACGAATTGCAATGCCAAGCGCTTGTGTTTCACATGTTTTGACCGATTGCAAAACACCTGAAAACCCGCAGAAGAAGAGCTAAATGGAATATATATATATATATATAAAAAACTGATACAACAAAACGACACACCCACAAACAATGCACGCCCACAACTGCCACCCTCCCCCTCAAGCCGCAGCACAGGCAGCTGTTTTTTGAAGCCAAGGACAATCATGAAGAATTATAACGGTTAAACTATAGAAAGCGTAACTGGAACTCTAGAGATAATAACGATAAAAGACAACGCAGAAAAGACACAAGTTGACAAATGTTTCAAAGACAACAACAACAACAACAACAACAACAAAGTGCAAGCATTTTTTTTATACAACAATTTATATGCATATATTTTATTTTCGAAAAACACACACACACACATTATACTACTAGATATATAGATATTAATATTATATATATCTATATATATATATATTTATGATGCGAATGCCACGCTGCGATGAATATTTATGCTAAGAGTTGTGATCATTGATTAAGCAGTTTATAAAATTTATAAACAATTTGAATAATAAACAAAAACAAAAGTACATAAATAATTTACGCCTAGTAAACAAATGCCAGCAACAACAAGCACAACAACAACAACAACAACAATAAACAAATGCAACAATAATAATTATAATAAGGCAAATAATTATTAATGATATATATATCAATATATATATATATATATACACACATATTTTATGATAATTATTTTCTAAACATTTTTCGCCCATATTAAAATAATAATAATTATTTCAAATTATTATATGCCTATATATATATATATATATATATATATATATTATTTTTTAATTTACAATTTTTTTTTAGCAATTTTTTCGCCAGCCAATTTTTTTGTCATTTAATATAAATATAAAACATCTTTTGTAGCATTTATTTTGTTAGTTTTTAGCACATTTTAGTTTAGCGCAATTTTTGTTTTTTTTTTTTTTTTTTTTTATTCAAAACAAATCAGCTTGAATTAAACATAACAAATCATATTTATGCATATTTTTGTATAAAAAAAAAATATGAAAAAAATGAAAGACTCAGAAGCAATATTTTATAAAAAGAAGACAAAGAATTTGAATAACAACAAAAACGTATAAAAAAAATAAAAACAGCTTGAAATTGTCTTGCAGCAATTTTTTGTTGCATTTCTATATCTATTTTTTTTTAAGCATATAAAAATTACATAAATTATATATGCCTATATATGAATATATATGTAAAACGTAAAAGTATAGAAGTGCGCGCAGCTTGATATATATATATATATATATATACATATATTTTTTTAAAAATATCGATTTATCGAATTATCGAGTGTGTAAATGCGCCACAGGCCGTAAGCTAAGTTTTATAGAAATAAAATAAAATAACAAAAAAAAAAAACAAAACAAATGCAAATACTATTTTTTAATCAAGCTGAAATGTCAACAACAAAAATGTAAATAAGAACAGGAAGAAATAATATTTGTATACTATCTTATCTCAGCACACACTGCTGCCGCTTCGCCTGCCAATACACCTCCCCCCCCTCCGTTGTCGCCCCCCTCTTTGCGACAGTCGCACATGCGCAAACAGAACAGATGAACCCAAGCAACCTGTCGCTGACCCCTTGGGCAAACAGTTGTACGTCGAGTGGGGCCATAAATCTAAGCAGCAGGCATGAGGGAGCTGGCAGCTGAGATTGCGACGTAACGAAGCTTAGATACCCTGTAATATGAGAGGAAGATCGCCAGCTCAAAGCCAGCATTGATTGCGGCACGACAAAGCTTAGATACCCTGTAATTTGAGAGGAAGGTTGCCGACGACGACGAAGCTTAGATACCCTGTAATATGAGAGGAAGATAGCCAGCATTGATTGCAGCACGATGAAGCTTAGATACCCTGTAATATGAGAGACCAAAGCCAACATTGATTGCGGCACGACGAAGCTTAGATACCCTGTAGTTTGAGTGGAAGGTCGCTGATGACGACGAAGCTTAGATACCCTGTAATATGAGAGGAAGATCGCCAGCTCAAAGCCAGCATTGATTGCAGCACGATGAAGCTTAGATACCCTGTAATATGAGAGACCAAAGCCAACATTGATTGCGGCACGACGAAGCTTAGATACCCTGTAGTTTGAGTGGAAGGTCGCTGATGACGACGAAGCTTAGATACCCTGTAATATGAGAGGAAGATCGCCAGCTCAAAGCCAGCATTAATTGCAGCACGACGAAGCTTAGATACCCTGTAATTTGAGCGGAATGTCGCCAGCGCAAAACTAGGATTAATTGCAGCACGACCAAACTTAGATACCCTGTAATATGAAAGGAAGGTCGCCGGCTTAAAGCCAGCATTAATTGCAGCACGACCAAACTTAGATACCCTGTAATATGAGAGGAAGATCACCAACTCAAAGCCAAAGACTTTTTTTTTTACTAAATGGTTATAATACATTTTTTAAAAATAAAGGGAGAGGCAAGGGACTGGCTGTTAACAATAACCGCGCAATGCCGGGCAATTTCATAGATCAACTTACTTATTTTCGCATGCGCTTCGTAAACTCCGCATTTGAGTGCAGGTGTTCGTTCATGGAAAACAAGAAAGGAATTGGACTTCGCCCGCTTTTCACAGGAAACAAAGATGCATCTTTCATGGAAAACTAATAATACGCTCTCAAGGGCCATAGATAAAATAAACATAATAATAAATTCTGAAAGCAAACAGCGCTTACCATGAAACAACGCACAGGTCGAGCGTTTGTGGCACTTGAGCAAATCTTTGTCTACGCTGTGAGAGCAAGTACAGTGCACACCCGCTGCAATGCACGAACTAGTTAGAGGTGCTACAGAAGTACGCTCTATGTCAATATTTTATATTATATTTCTTATAAATTTGTTCTCATATAGACGTTGGTTCACTGTAGTGAGTGTGCTCTGTATCAGTTCTTTAAGGCCCCAACAATTGAATACTTTGAGTAGCTTTTGATATTTCATATTAATGGGCTCAAAGAACTCTGATCGTCTTGCCTCCTTATGTTGGTTCGCTTTATCAAGTGCGTACTGTACTCTTATATATAACATATTCTTTAATTCACTTTATTGAATGTGTACTGTATTTCGTATTTGATCTATTGCGAGCACGAGATAAAGAACTTATTACCTTTAATCCCAACAACTTCTACTCTTCGTAAATATGCCTTTTAGCGTGCGTTTACTGTACTGTTAGTTAGAACCAGTGACTTTTTTCTTCGAATTTGACACTTTTTCAGCTGTTTATCATTTCTAGACTGGTTTGCCCAGTGCAAAGTTTACTTTAGCCTGCGTGCACTGTGTTGTAGTTGGGCTGATAATTCTCTAGATTTGTCACTTGTTCGACTTGCGGCTCGACTAGATGCCAATGAACTGAGTCGCATCCAGGCACGTTTCAGGCATTATTTTGTTCGAATGAGTCAAACGTTGCAAAACTATTTCTGGAGCACGATCGTCATGATCCCGAGTGGACAAATCTGTGAGATTATCAAACGAATGGATATCGAAATCGGAGTCCCAATTCGGTTGGCCTACAGCATCGTATCGGATGACAACTGCGCCACAGGCCACAGTCAGCCGGGCCACTCGTGCCATTATTCGAATATTATTTTATTTGTTTACTCCAAAGTTCTCAGTTCTCAGTTCTCAGTTGTCTGGCTGATATAGCCGGCAAGTATGCCAATGCTTGATTCCCAACCAAATACTTGTGTAAACATAATGCAGTTCAGCTCGAATCGTATCAAAATTTTGCAGATGTATTGTCTGGTTGAATTCTTTCATTATTTTCTTAGCACTGTTCGTAGAACTCATCTGAGATCGACTCCTCCTCTGGGTAATAGCTTGTCATCAAGATTAAGAACTTTAGATCTATACTGAATATCTTATGAGATCTAAGAATCCATTTATATATATATATTTATATATGTTTTTTTCTCTTGATATATCTTCTATAATTTCGTTACTTTTCTATCTTTAGTAAAGCTTTTCCAGACTCCTCAGATTTGATTTAAATTCAGCCGAACTTATTGCTCTTTACGATTCTTCAAGTCTACCTGATTCTTATATCGCTATAAAAACAATTTCTCTTCTATCTAACCAATCTATTTTTCGTATACGAAACATCATATGCTTACGTGACGATACAATTAACTGTACTTGAAATAACTGTAATGCGAGCACTACGATAACTTCCTGTTGGATTTTTGTGAACAATACGATCCAAGCGAACCCAATACCTGAAATGCAATTGCAAGCATATTTACCACAATATATACAGACATTACCTAATGGGTATCCATATGTGTATATACACATGTTGAGTTAAGTACTCATGTTAATGTTATAGTAATGTTAATTGTCACTGTTAATTGTCACTGTTAATTGTTATTCTTGATTTTAATGTGAGGCAGTTCCCAGCATTTGGGGAACAATTTCTTGACGCTGTTTACCTAAGGTCAAACAAATTTGGCAAACATATTTGAGTTAATATATTTGATAGTAGCACAGATGTGACAACTCTTGAGCCTGTAAGCTAACAGAATGTTTGTATGTTTGTTTGCTCTGCTATCGTAACACTGTTAATGTAAGTGCTCATGTTAATGTTATAGTAATGTTAATTGTCAATGTTTACATTACGAATGTTAATTGTTATGTGAAAAATAATTAACAATGAACCAGTTCCCATCGTTTAGGCTTCAGTTGTTAACTTTTAAATCCATGAGTTTGGGAATTTGAATAACTGAATACCCAAATCGGAAAATAATCGCAAGCTGGTGAGTTATACAGTTTTGTTGTTAGTTCCATTCACTACGAACAAATTTATCCTACACTAATAATTCATTAATAAATGAAGTAATGCTTAAGCATGTAAATACTCTCTGCGTGTAGGGTATACGATTTGCCAAGCATGACGAAAAGAATAGAAAGTGTGACAATTGGCAAATCAACCTGATACCGCGTGCATTCTATATGAGATAACGTCTAATGGAAACTTGCAGCTAAGCATGCGGGAGCGCCCCTCCCGTATCCAGATGGGATTGCATCTGCTTGGTGTGTGTCGTCTTTGGCGATTGTTCAAGCAAATTAGCATATCAAATTGAATTAAACGCTGCAATTGTCCAGGCGTGCCCTCAATAAATAAATAAATAAATAAATATTACGGCAGCAGAAAAGCGAAATTCAAGTGGGTTACGGAACTCGGAACGCACACAACGAACTGTAGAGAGGGCTTGGTGGACGCAAGTTGGGGTCAACATCAAGTCAGACATTGCAATTGGAATGTGAGAATCGCCCGCGAGTTAAGCAATTTA